CTCTCTCCTCTCTCTTTCTTTCTACCTATCTCTCATTCTCTTTCTCTGTTCGTCGAAATAACCGGCAATTTATTTAAAGTCATCGTTGCTTAATCACGTAACGTGGTTTTATAGACGACGCGACCGTAACTTTTTCTAACCCCGCAGAATTTTAAATCTGGAGTTTTAAGAGAAAGGCTGGAAACGTTAACGCGACCGGCTGGTCACTAAACTTCTCGGCTTTACGATACGAAACGTATCGCATCCTCGATACTTTGAAACGGAGATATTCACACACACACACGCAGCTGCGAATTTTATTTCAGGACGAAAAAAACGTTGTCTTTTTCTGCCTCTGGAAACCCGGATCAGAGCGCGACGTCCAGATCCGACGGTATACCAAGAATAGGATATTTTTGGAGCTTCTCGTCTCGCCGTTGTCGCCTCCTTCGCTTGTAAGATGAGCTACGCATGGACGCGACCGCATTTTTCCGCGATTGCAGAACCCTCGTGGTCGCGAGGAAGATAAAAATATTTTCTGAAAGCTCCGTTATTCCCGCACGTGCGCGTACGTTCGGCGCGAAGATGCACCCTTCGCCAGTCACCGGCTGAAAAATCCGATGGGTGCGTCTTTTGTCCGTGACGAACGCGCGCGGAATATATACTCTGGAGGCCACGAGCGGTGACATTGGAAATGTCTAACATTAGGTTGCGTGATCGTTGATACATTCCGCCCCGATATGGATCGGCGCGTCGTTCAATTATATCTCATTCCGACCACGTCTCGTTGTCTCGTTAGCGATCTGATTTTCGAGCAAAATTCAACGATCGATAGAGCAATCCCGACCGGTAAGATTCTTATCTCGCGATTAAATAAAAAGTGAAGTAAATCGAAAAATTCAAGAACAAGCTTGTCACGCGAGCTTTTCCAGTCCCCTTATTATTAATAATACCTTCGATCGAATTCTCACGATTCCGCGTCGTTACTTGTTCATCCGTTTCTACGCCTATGGCGCGCTTCCTTCGTTCAAATAGCCCTCCTTTCGGATCCCAAATTTTGGTCCCCAGGCATTATAATATACGAAACTCCGCTAAATACGTCGTCGCCGTTATTGCACGAGCGCGAATCGCGTGACACTTTCTGAAGTTTTATGGTGTTCGGGCCCAGACGGGACGATACGAGGGGCGACATTCTCAGCCGAAAGCGGTCGATAGCGGCATACGGTTGCTTTTCGCAGTAGGGTGCTTTTGTTGTTTGCAGCAAAATCTCGCGTTGCGGTCTCCCGTCGCAAATAGATTTCCATGGAAAAAAGGATGAGATCGTCGCCGGACCGAATGGGAGAGCGATCCGCGTCACGTTTTTCGTCCGCGGTAAATAACGATATTCTCGGCTCGGGCAGGGCCTCCCCCCCCCCTCTTCCCATTTCGTGGGAGGTTTTCTCCGCGAGAGGTATTTCGTTCGCGATCATGGCAATTACGCGAGATTCTTATACACGGTGTGCTCCGTTGCCCCTGACAGAAGCTGACTGGTAGCCGTTACATTGCGGCGGCACTTGATGGTGAAAGTATGTCACCGCATTTTTAATTTGCACTTTATCGTCATAGATCGGCGGTCTTGAAACCTTCTCGCGTCATAGACCCGAGATCGAGTTCCCGCATCCTGCGTCCCGCAGGTACGAAAAAAAGGGGGGGAAAAAAATAGGGTTTTCGTATCCTTCCTATCGATGGAAAGGCGAACTGGCACTTGCACGGCACGTTGCACAGACAGCATTATTATAATAATCGAGAAACGGGTCATTCTAACGATATCGAGAAAATTTATACACGCGTACATGATGTCAATATCACGTTTCTCTTTCTCACAGCAAAGTAGCGTCTTGAGGAAAATTCGAATAAACAATTTGCAATGTCAAATATAAATTTATAAATATAACATATAAGCACAGAGAGAATTTAAATTAATAAAGTTAGCCTTGTTGTCTCAAGTATCACGAAGATAAATTCGATCTTACCTTGGATACAAAAAGGATTGATTTTGATTATTGATTATGAAAATAAGCCGAAAAGAGAAAACTATACCAAGATCCTAAACCTCTGTCTTGTTCTAAAACGAGAAAGTTAGCCCAGAATTTTAGAATTCTCTATAGTCAAGATTTTGGCCTCATGTCTCCCGAATATAAAATTCATTTTTAATTTTTTTTCAACAACATTCATGATTTCACGTTTCATGATTTTAATTTTTCAGAAAGTCGATGAAAAGTGATAAATTTCTAAAAGGCAGCATTTATCACGCTACGACACGACGGAAAAAATAGGGAAATATAAACGTTGTTCCGAAGGTTGCACGCGTAAACACGATTAAAGGTCTACAAGGGCTGTGTCTCTCTCTCTCTCTCTCTCTCTCTCTCTCTCTCTCTCTCTCTCTCTCTCCCCTCTTTTCTCTCTTCTCTCTCCTTCTCTCCGCCTCTCTCGGATTCGAAGAGAGAAAAGGATAACCGAGACAGATGGTGGGTAGTGGGGACTAGGCGAGCGAGTAGGGTAGACGGTGCGTTCTCTCGTTGGCCGTGTTCGTTCCACGTTCAGTTGTTCGCCGCGCGCGCGCCAAGTTGTCACGTCGCTGGTGTTTCGTTTGTCCGTTTCTCTGCTTCCTCGTTGACGCGTGCAAAGCCCGGCCGGGTCGACGAGGAATCGATCACACTCCCTCGAGGCACGAGACACGGTGATAATGCTACGTGTTCAGGAGCTGGCGGTCATTACCGCCGGTCATCGGAACATGGACGTGCTAGAGGTGTGTCAAGCCTCGTTGTAAAAGCTCGCTGTTCGCCGTTGTGGCAAGAGATTATTTTATTTCCACAAGAAAAAGACGAGTGACATTTGCGTGTCGAATAAGAGGAGGGGAAAAAAAAAAAAACAAACGAATAGTACCGTTCAGTTTTCCCGCCACCGAGTTTCAAGTCGGTCGCTACGTGTGCTGAAAATCCGAAGGGTGACATATAGTGACATATTCGTTGACACGGAGTGCTGACGTCGTACTGACGTTTGATTACCATATTTACCCGTTTTTGGAACACGTTTCGGTTTGCCACTTGGCATATTTTCTGCGCGAAAGGCTGCTCGTGCTTTCCACTCGAAAGTCGCGCTCGAGAAACTCGCGCGGTTTCTCGTCGCCACCGATACGCGATTTATCAACGCGTCCCGATAAACTCGCAGATTACCAAGCCAATTAACGTCGTCGCGCGTCGCCGAGAGAGAGACGGAGTTTCTCACGAGGCGGATCGGCGCATCTCTCGAGAGCGCCGTAACAGGTGACACAATTAATCCCGGCCGGGGTCGCGATTGGCCGGGCGCGCGCGTTTCTCTTCTTTCATTCCTCTTCCTCTTCCTCGTTACGTGCGAAAGCGAAGAGAAACGCGGGGACAAGCTCTCTCTCTCTCTCTCTCTCTCTCGCGCGCG